TGGCCATATTGAAAAAGTTTATGTCTCAGTCTGCACCCTCAGTCCATCACCTTTCAGTCATGGAGTGAGTAACGTGCTTCATCATCAGTCCTCTGGAATTGTTTGGTCTAAATCCATATCCTCTTCACTGATCATGAAAGTCTTTTTTTGTAAATGTATTTCAAATGCACAAACCTCCAGACAACCTTCTCCCCATGAGAGACAATTACCAATGCTTGTAATAGGATTAATTTGCTATCCTTAGAGGCAAGATCCAAACAGAGTTAAATGCAATTGTGAACTTCAATCCAAATGTAGAGAGCCGCTCGACTGCTCATCATATGTTAGCAGTGATGCCACAGGAATCTAAGAGATTTACCCGAGCTCCCTAATAGGCACGCATCTGTCCCTTCTTTAAATCCTGTTTTCTTGCCATCTGTTCCTTTATACCCCTCTTGGCTGTAAACAAAGTTAATGCACAGTGATTCATTATGCTACCAGAGAAAGGCACCTCCTCTCAATGCACAAAAGTCAAACTGGCTCTTGAAAGAACGAATATAAGTTCCTCTCATTTTCCAACCTCTCACTCCTACCAGAAAGCACAAAAACAACAACAACAACAACAACAACAACAAAAATCTGGGTTTTATTTTGAATAGAATCTTCAAATGGCAGTATTCAAGTAGTCTGAGTCTCAGATACAGAAAACACAAGCACTATCTGGGTAAAGACGATGTAATTAGGCTTGGGCTATGGCACACGTTTGTTCTGAATGTGACCACTCTTATTCTTCGTCCATTGGAACCTAATGGCATTGACAACTGTTTCTATGCATTTACTCCATTTCTTCTTGTCTAGAAATAATTACTGTAATTTAATATAAAGTAGCTATAATGAATAGAGTGGTAGATTTCAGTAGACAGACAAGCAGCCTCAGACAGGGGTGGGGAACCTGTGGCCTCAAGGCCACATGTGGCCCTCTAGGTCCTTTGTGCAGCCCTTTGACTGAATCCAAACTTCACAGAACAAATTCCCTTAATAAAAGGATTCGTTTATTTTGGATAGAATCTTCAAATGACAGTTTTCAAGTAGTCTGAATCTCAGATACAGAAAACACAAGCCTTATCAGGGTAAAGACTCATATACATATATGTATATGTATATATGTATAGATATATATGGACATATATATACATATAACTAGGCATGGCCCTCAGAGCCAGAATGGCCTGGGTTTGTGTCCTATCTCTGCACATACTAGGTATGTGACCCTGGAGAAATCATGACACCTCTCAGGACTCCAGGCAATTCTCTAAGATGATAAGTTGTAGTGGAGATGCCGACCTACATTAGGAAAAGGAGTTTTTTCATTGGTAGCTCACTACACCAAGAAAATCACAGGTTGCTGAAATCACAGGTTTGGTTTCTGTCCTTGTCCCTTCATCTTCAGATAAAGCATTATATTCCGACTATACAATTTAAAAGTAACCTGAGAGATCACCTAGGCCAGCCCTGTCATTTCACAGATGAACAAACTGTGTCTCAAAAAAGGGAAGTAATATTCAAAGTCACATGGCTGACAGATCCCCTTATACTAGAAATTCACCAATCAACATTTATTAAGCACCTACTATGTGCCAGGCACTGTGCTAAGTGCTGGAAATCCAGTCTTCTCACTCCAAGTCTAGGGCTCTTTCTACTGAACCACACTGCCTCCTCATGCCCTATATAGAGATATGTAAATTACCACCCAGTTATTGGACTGGTGAGGTTGCTGATTCTAAGGGCAAATCAACATGGACACTTAAGAACGATGTAGATGAAAACAATGCGTTTGCATGCTATGGTATTATTTTATTTTGTACAATATAGGCAGCTAGATGGTGTAGCAGTTAGGGTGTTGGTCCAGGAGTCAGGAAGAACTGGGTACGAATCCTGCTTCAAACGCTAACTGTGCAACCCTAGGCAAAGCCATTTAACTTAACAGCCTCAGTTTCTGCATCTGTAAAGTGGAGATAATAAGAGTAACTATTTCATAGGATTTGTTGTGAGAATTAAATGACATAATAAATGTGAATATCTTTGCAAACTTGAGCTCTATAAATGCTAGCTATTATAGGTCCCTATCTTAAGACCCTAAGACCTTGCACTTACAGTATAATAATAATTAGCAACTTCCAGAGTTATAACTAGGAATTTTTGTGCCTGGGGAAAATTTCACAACTTGGCAGGAAGTCAGCTCTCAGTTGTGTGGGGGGTTGGGAGAAGGCAATCCTAATGAGGCAGAGCAAAAACTCACCCCAGTAAGCCATCTGGTAGCTTATTTTTATTTATTATTAATTATTCTTACTAACTAGTTCTGTTGTAGGAGTACAAATGCTATTGGTGCCCCCTAAATTCACTCCCCTGGAGCAAAGTTCCAGTTGCCCTGCCCTAGTTGCCCTTGAGAATCACCAACACTTACAGAAGCACCTTTCCTCATGGTATCTCAAGCTTCCTAACAGACTATATACACAGAAGCCATTTCATACGTCTGTGAAATAAGGCAGCATCTGGGGTAGAAGGCAGCAGCTGTTTGATAAAGTCATCCTTGAGTCCCAGACTGTCCCCAAAGCTCAGTTTACATCTCCTCCTCCCAGATATTGCCAGTTGAGGTTGTAAGAAGATCTTCTGTGAGTCAATTTGTTTTCCTGCCTCCAATAACACACCATGAATGAGGTTTCTATCTTTTGGACAATACTGAGTAACCATGCCAATTTTCTGAAGAAGGTTTTGGGTTAGGACTTTGCAGTTTTGCAAAGTGTCTGGTTCAACGTGCTTAACAATGAAACAAATTGACAGACTTCCACTGATTTTCATGCCTATGTGCCTTTTCATTTGGTTGTGTGAAATGCTGCTTTTCTCTTCTCAAGTAGGCAGACTTCTCACCTCACAAGCAACTTGGGGGTTGTTGGCATGAAGAGCAGCTTCCCACAGCACTTTTTGAAGAGTTTTGTAAAGTGGGAAAACACTCATGCTAGTGATACAGTTCAATAAGAGGGGAAAGGGAATTGAAAGCATATTTTTTAAAAAAATTAGTTGGAATTATATTTATTTATCTCCTAGAGAATTGCTGGCCTATGCAACCCACAACATTTTACTTTGGTTCTGGAAGGGTAGAAAACACCCACCTTGAAAAGTCACATCCTGGGACATTAATTAACAGCGGAGAGCCAGCAGTCTTCTGTTGCCCTAGGATATTCAACATCCTGTCATCAGAAAGACATCAGAACATCAATCAGAAAGGTGGTGTCAATCCCCCCCTCCTGAGCCTCCTTCTTCCCAAGGCCAGCCCCACAATCTCTACCCTTGATCACACCCTTTAGCATCTCCTCTGGGATCTTGCTTTATCTACAATCCTCTGTGCCTTAGAATCATTCTTAGAGTCAGAAATGACTTAAAATATCACATAGTCCAACCCATTCATTTTACAGATGAGGAGATTGGGGTGCAGAGAGGTTAACTTACTTACCTAAGGCTGCATAGCTAGTAATTTTACCGGGCTTGGAGGGAGGAAGGGAATAAGTATTTATATAGTACCTACTATGTTCCAGGCACTTTCCTAAGCATTTTACAATTATTATTCTCATTTGATCCTCACAACAATCCTGGAAGGTAGATGCTGTTATTATCTCCATTTTACAGTTGAGGAAACTGAGGCACAGTGAGGTCAAGTGACTTGCCCAGGGTCACACAGCTAGTAAGTGTCTGAGGCTAGATTTGAACTCAGATCTTCCTGACTCCAGGCCAGTCTTTCTAACTCCAGGCCCATTAGAACTCAGGTCTTCCAAATCCTGGTTAAGTGGTCCTTCTACTATGCTATATTACTCAATGTTTCCCTCTGTATTGTCCTCTTCTATTCTGTTTATAAATATGCTTACATCTCTCTTGCCCCAAGAAAACCTTGCTACAACCCTGCTAAGTTTCTTCTCTGGTTACCTTTTTTTTTTCCTCCTTCCCATTACCATGGCGTTTATAAAATTATTAGTGTATGGTTGCCGCCATCACTTTGTCCCACCAGAGTTCAACTCCTTCAATTAGTAAGGAAGGATATCTCTTGGAGACAAAAAAAACAAAATATCAATACTTCCATCTCTATTGAAATTCTGGGGCACAAAACTCCTTACCTAGCACAATATGTTACAGGCATTTAATGAATGTTGGTTAATCAATTCATTGATTGATATTAATCCTCTAAATCTTCCATCAAGGGAATGTACCACAGGAATGGATCTCCCATTGTACTGGTTTCCTAATCTTGGTCATCCAGTCTCACTACCTTCCTTAATAATTATAGGTGACATTCTCAGCAATACAATGATCCAAGACAATCCTAAAGGACTCATGATGAAAAATGCTATTCACCTCCAGAGAAAGAACTGATGGCATCTGAATACAGACCAAAACATTCTTTCTTCCTTCCTTTCTTTTTCTTCTTTCTTTCTTTTCTTTCTTCCTTCCTTCCTTCCTTTCTTTTTCTTTTTCTTTCTTTCTTTCTTTCTTTCTTTTTTCTTTCTCTTTTTTCTTTCCTTTCTTCCTTTCTTCTTTCTTTCTTTCTTTCTTTTTTTCATCTCTCTCTCTCTTTCTTTGTTCTCTTCCACAAGATGACTAATATGGAAATGCTTTACAAGATTGCACATGTATAATCTGTATCAGATTGCTTACTCTCTCAGGGAGGGAGAAGGAAAGACAGGGAGGGATAGAATTTGGAAATCAAAACTTTAAAAAAAATAACAAATGTTAAAAATTGTTTTTATGCATAATTGGGGGAAAATAAAATAGTATTTAAAATAATTATAGCTAATATTTACATAATATTTTAATGCTTACATACCTTATCTCATTTTGAGATAATCACTGTGAAATACATGCTATAGAAATTGCTATTTCCGTTTTATAGGTTAGGACATTGAAGATTAGGAACCTGTCTAAGCTTACTTAATCTGTGTCGTGTTTATACCCGTTTAGTTCTTGTCTCTTCTGTGAGAATGTGAGCTCCTGGGAGGCCAGGATTATTTTCACCTTCTTTGTCTCGTCAGTGCTTAGCAGGGGGCTAGACCAAAGTAAGTGCTTAATAAATGTATGTTGATTGTTTGATTGATTGCACTTAGGTTTTCTACTCCTGAATCTTTCTTATAAAGCTAGGTCTGGATTAATGGGAATAATGAATCCCATGAAGTGATCATTTGTATTCCAATTCACACTACTGTATTTGAAGTTATAATTATGTGACATATGGTCATTGGTTCCAGCCCAATGGAAATATGCAGTTTGAATTAGAATAGCATGTATCTGCTCAGAGCTTCTGACTTTTTTTTTGGTTGTTGTTTGTTTGTTTTTTAGGCAATTGGGGTTAAGTGACTTGCCCAGGGTCACACAGCTCGTAAGTGTCAAGTGTGTGGTCAGAGGCCGGATTTGACCTCAGGTCCTCCTGACTTAAGGGCCGGTGCTCTATCCACTGCACCACCTAGCTGCCCCTGAGCTTCTGACTTCTTGAAGAAGGCAAGAAGAAGCTCATACAGTGAATGTGTATTCCTAGGGTTTTGTGTGGGTCTCTAGGCATATGCTTATTCTATGCTAGAGCTTGCAGGGAATTTGAGCAAGGTTGATATATGTCGTAGATTAAGCCCAAGAGTGGCATTCAGCCAGCTAAGCTCATTTCACTGTCTCTTGTGAGAGGGGTGCCTGGCTACCAACACTTGAATCTACACTGTAGTACTTTATACCTCTTGCCTATACCTGTTCTTGCTTTTTCACAATCTACCTCATCTTTGAACATGTGTCATCTCTCCAACTGGCTCTGTGAAAGTGTGGGCTTTGGTCTTCATTTTTGTCTCTCCCCTTCTCTTCAATATCCATTGCTTTGCTTCCTTCCCCTTCCCCACTTCCATACATGCACACACACACATATACACACACACACACACATGCACAAACACACACACACATGCACAAACACACACACACACATAAAGTACCTAGAATAGTGCTTTGCATACTACAGGCACTTAATAAGTACTTTGAAAAGAATATTATTTGAGTCAGAACTTCTGGCTTCAGAGATGATTCCTGAATATTTAAATAACAAAAGTATCAGCTTTCATCAGTTATATGACTTTGGAATTATACTCTTGATGATAACTATCAACTTAGTTTCATACCTTCATTTAACGAGTCGAAGTCCTGAAAGCAAATCTTTGACTGATAATTTCATTCCTACATCTCAACAGAGCATTTAGCAGCCCTCTGGTCTTCTTAAGGGACATATCCACACTGTTTTATAAATATCTCAATCAGAACGGAGACTTTACATTTGGAGAGCTCTTCATAATCATTTATTAACTAATCCTTGTAAAGCCCATAGGAAGAAGGCCAGTATAATCATTTCCATTTTACAGATGAGGAAATCAAGGTGGTGGGTAGTTAATTACATAACAGAGAGGAGACAAGAAGTCAGTTCCCAGGGTTCTGTCTTTAATCCATTGACTCATGACCTCTCTCTTGTGCAGGGATTAGGATTTTTACAATGATTGTGCAGCGTAATAACAAATTATTGTAGCAACCCAATAAGCCACATTAATGAAACTAAAAAAAACAGGTTGGCAACAAGTGGATGCAGTAGTTTGAATAAGCACCAGATGTGTTTCCTGGCACCAAGCCATTCCAGCCTCTGACCTCTGAGCTGCCAGAGCATGTGGGAATCTTTACTGCCTGGCCAAATTGGAGAAGGGATCTCATATTTAAGATCTTAAAAAAAAGATGAAGAAAGCAAATTTGCTTCAGAGATGATGAAAGACACTATTTGCTTCAAAATATCCTTCAAGAAAATGGTAAAGAAGTTGAGGCTTAATACTAATAGTCAATAATTTATTGAGCCTGTGAAATGGTCATATGTATTCAAATTTGCACTATTTGAAGTTATAATTTTATAAAATGTGGTCATTAGTTCCAGCCCAATGGACATATGCAGTTTAAATTTTCATAAAGCGACCACTTCAGGGAATTTGTTATTCACACTAATTGGGACCTTATTGTATACTAAGTGGTGTACTGGAGCCAGCTCTAACCAGCTGGCAAGCAGATTGTTAAATTTCCAGGGTAAGCATGTGCACCTTAGAGATGGTAAATGATACAAATCAGGGCTTGATTTACTGCTTTGTTGATTGTCTAGACTTAAGAACGTGATGAAGAAAATATAAATAATGCACATTAAACTTAAAAGTGTGTCCTGCCCTTGGGGGTAACCTGGTGGCACAGTGAATAGAGCACTGGACCTGAGAAAACTTGAGTTCAAATCCAGCCTCAGACACTTACGATCTGTATGACCTTGGGCAAATCACAACTGCTATTTGCCTTGGTTTCCTCAATTATAAAATGGAGATAATAATACCACTTACCTCAAAGTTGTTGTTGTGAGAATTGAAGTATGTGGCACAGAGTAGGTGCTATATAAATACTAGTAATGCTATTACTATGTACATTTTTTTTGGAGGTCCAGTTGTTAAACATTTACCAGCATATGTCTATCCCTCCCTTGTGTGGGGGGTATGGTAAGAGATACAAGAAAATCAGAAGGCACATCCCTGCTCTTTTAACTAGAATTTAAACTCTCCCCAACTGGAGAGAAAACACTAATACACTTGTAATGATTAGAGAATATTACAAGACAGTAAATATTTGAGTGCTAAGCGGTGTGGCCCTGCTGATTATGAGGTTAACAAGAGTTCGAGGAAGGGAGAGATCTGTGGGAATCAGAGTAAACAGGGCAGGTACCTTGGAAGAGGTGTGTCTTGAATTCAGCCTTGAAGGAATCAAAATCTTAGGGTTTGAAGAGCCCTTAGAAGTCATCCTGTCTAATCTTAGTTGGATGGCATTTCATGTAAGATCTAGGGGAAGGGTGTGTGCGTGCGTGTGTGTGTGTGTGTGAGTGTTAGCTGACTACAAGTTAAATATAAGTTTGCATTATGACCGGTAGTAAAAAAGATGAAGACGTGTTAGGCTGCAGGAAATGATCAAGAACAGGCTTCATCATGAACAGGTCACTCCAGACAAACTAAACTTGTAGAACAAGGAACCTAGCTTACCTAGATTTTGGCAAAAGCATTTGACAAAATTTCTCATGCTATTCTTGTGAATAGTAGGGATAGATGTGGGTTAACCTTACGTACAGTATAGTTAGGATTAGTCAAATGATGAGATACAAAGAGTAGCCATTGATGATCCAAGGTTAACTTGGAAGTAGGCATCTAGTCCACCGTCCCAGGAATTGGCGTTCAGCCTATGCTCTTTAACATTTTTTATCAGTGCCTTGGACAAAGACACAAAGAGCATATATGATCAGTTCTGTAGATCACACAAAGGTGGTAATGATAGCTATGATGCTAGGATCCGAAACGAACAAATAAACAAACCTGACGGGCTATAATGTTTGAATGAGTACAGTTGGGATGACATTTAATACAGATAAATGGGAAGAAGAAAATTAACTTCACAAGTACATAATGGGGAAAGCATGACTACACAGCAGTTTGCCAGAAAAAAAGATATGAGGGGCTTAGTGGACTGCAAATTCAATGAGCCAACAGTGTGATGTGGCAGCCTAAAGCCAAATGTGATCTTACACATTCAAAGAAACACAGTATCCAAGTCTATAAAGGTTTTGGTTCTACTACATGCTTTGCCCTGGTCAGACCACATCTAGAGTATTATGTTCAGTTCTAGATGTCATATTTTAGGAAAGAAAATGATAAAATGGAGAGTATATCGAGGAGAGCAACCAGAATGGTTAAAGGCCTTGAGATCATGCTGTATTTAAATCATTTGAAGGAACTGGGAATGGTTAGCCTAGAGAAGGGAGGATTTGAAGGGGATGGGATCACCGTGTTCAAGTATTCAGAAGGCTAGCATATGGTAGAAGGACTTGACTTGTTCTGCTTGGTTCCAGAAAGTAGAACTGGGTAGCATTGGGTGGAAGATTCAGTAGGACAGATTGAGGTTTGACGTGAGGAAAGGCCTGCTACCGGTTAGAGACATACAAAAGAAAAATGGGTCGTGTTAGGGCTTAATGGTGCTTCCTTCACTAGGGTTTTCTTCAAGTAAAGGCTGATTAATGGTAATGCTATAGAGGAGATTCCCTGTCAGGTGTAGGTTAGCCTAGATGGCCAATGGGGCCCCTTCCAATTCTGAGATTCTCTGATGGAATCTTTAACTGCAACAGTCAGTCCTCTCTACACTTTACAAACTTGGGATTTGTTCACTGGAGTTGTCTAGACTGAAGTCATTAGTCTGTTCTATAATCTCAGGCTCACTCTAGGCCAAACAGGAAGCATTTTGACTTCATACAGGTGACTAATTCTCCATCCATTTTTCCTCTTGGGTGTAGACCTGCAAATTCATCTGTGAAGGGGACTCCCCTCCCCCAGGAAGCTTTCTCCATCAGTGCAGACTGGCAACTCTTCCATGATTTGTGGTCTCAGAGACTTGCCTGGGGTCACTCAGTGATCTGTCTAGGATTCATAGCCAGTATAAATCAGTAGCAGTATTTGAACCTAGTTCTTCCTGACTCTGAGGCCAGCTCTCTGACCGCTAAGCCACTCTAGCTCTGCTTCTAGCTATATTGCTATGTAATCACCTGATACTAAATTCCTTTCCCATTAACCAGGGAAAGATATATAGTGTCTCAAAGCATAATTCAATAGCTATAAAAGTACACAAAGACAAGACTGTGATAGGACCAGGGTCTCTCATACCATTTTCCTCAGGATAAGGTTAATTTTCCATAAAAAGCAACAAAATTGTTCCTGGGACCACCCTTGATATCACTGCCTGGTCTCCTAAGGGCATAAAAATTCCCACCTACATGGAGTTAATGCTCTTCCAGCTAGGTAGCTGTCTAAAGATGACTTGTGTCATCAAATCCTGCCTTGCTTTCCAGATGTATTTCCATAAGGAAGAGGAAGGAAAGAGAACAAGCATTTATTAAACACCTACTATATGCTAGACCTGGTGCTAAGTGCTTTAAAGATATTTCATTTGATCTTCATAACAACCCTGGGAGATAGGT